GTGTGTATATGTGTGTGTGTGTGTGATTAATAAAGTTGGAAGCCACAGATGGTTACACCAAGTTTTTACATCTACACATTTATCTCTCTCCCTCCTCCCAGTCTCTTAAGCACAGACGCACACAGTTGTGCACACAACAGTTGAAGAGATTTGTCTGTCTCAGCATTCACAGCACATTTCTCAATGACCTGCAGTTTCAGCACAAAGTCCCACTGGCTCACTGGCTGCCTTCCCTCCTCTCAAAATCTACAGCACGTCGTCGTATTCTTTTCTTTTCTTTTTTTCCCCAAACTTTTGCTTTTGGTCTGTCCAAACTTGGTTGATAAAAAGAGAATGTATTATTCTTGGGTGAGATTTCACTTGTCATCTGTCTGCTTTCTTTTAACTCCCAGGCTCAGACAGCCCACCTGGTCTTGGAAGATGGTACCAGGATGAAAGGATTTTCCTTTGGGCACAATGCTTCTGTAGCTGGGGAACTCGTCTTCAATACTGGCCTGGTTGGGTAAGAAAAAAAAAAAACAACTTGCTTACTTTTGTAGTAACACCATTGAATTTAAACAAAAGAAACAAAGCTGGTCAGATTTAAAGAAAAAAAAGAAATACTTCAAAAAGTAATTTATTTTATACTGCTTGATAACTTGATTCAAAGTGGATTATTTTTGTCCTAAAAGTTTCCAACATGACAAAGTCACTGTTTCTTCTTCCTTCATGGCGTTGTGGTGACAGCACATCACCATATCACAGTATCACATTGTGTTTGTGCTTGGTATTTCTGCTTTAGGTACCCTGAGGCCCTGACTGACCCCAGCTACAGAGGTCAAATCCTGACCCTGACCTACCCAATTGTTGGGAACTATGGGGTGCCCAACACCCAGGAGGTGGATGAACTTGGCCTGAGGAAGCACGTGGAGTCTGACTACATTCAGGTAGTAATTGCAGCTGTGGCTGCAAGGTTTCAAAGTTTGCAAAGGGCTTGTTCCTCTCGTTAAACTTGTCGTTATTGCTTATTTTAAATGCACTTATATTTATTTATTTCCCCTTTTACCGCTTGCCTCCTAGCATTAGAACAATACTCAGTCACTTAATTAATCATTCAGTTGATTGTAAAGTAGAAATCTCCCTTTCCATTATTGAACTTAATTTTATCTAATCATAAGGATGTGAAAAAAAGGAAATACTTTAATATAAATTAAGAAAAAAAAATCTGTCATTAGTAAGAGTTGAATTGGTATTAAGCTGTATGTTATAGTAAAAAAAAAAATCCCGTGGAACTAATTGTGACTAGCATAATCGTGAAAAACGTAAAAACGGCTTGCTCATTTAATTTCACTTTTTCTTTGTAATGAATTCCTCTTGTCAGTGAAGTTGCATTAGAGCTCTTTTTCAGAAGTCATAAAGGGCAATGAACTACTTTATAGTCTAGTGAAAATAGTGATAAATTACTTCCCATCGGAGCTCGTCATCTTTTTTTATCTTTATTTATTGTAAAGCACTTCTTCTGCAGCTGTGCTTCTGTTTTCAGTCTGACCTTAAAGCCTTTGTTTCACACTTTTTATCAAGTTGTTAATTATACAGTATTGCATTTAAATTCTCACTAGCACAATATTTGTTCAGTAAGCTTAAACACGGGAAAAGGGATATTTTCAATTATGTTTATTAAATGTCACCATGTTTCTCACAACTATTGGATTCTTAGGAGGCTTATAATCAATGTTTCTGAATAGGTGACATACTTAAGAAAATACTCTCTGTAAATTTTACTATACTTGAATAACTGACAAATATTACCTTAATGTCTAAACAAGACATTTTACATTCATAATAAAATAATGTGATTATTGTTTGGCAGAATGGCATCAATTTAACATACTGACCAAGTTATTACAATCTTATGTCAGAAAAGGGTCAGAGCATATGATTTTGATTACCGTTTGCAAACTGCAGGCAAACTAATTCTATCCTTCACAGTCCAACATGAGTGAAACAGGTGCATAAGAAAGTAAAACTAAATAGTACAAGTTTCAAAAGAAAATAAGACGATAAATCCAAGCGGACTTTTCGACTGTGTCAAGACACATTTTGAAGCACAAATACCTTCTCAGCTCACTCAGTGGGAAAGTGACACTACAGATGATTTTGAGGGAAAACTCATGTTCTGCTGAAATGTACTGGTGGCTGAAGTTAAAGATACTCTGTACATATACTTTAGATCAGAGGTCTGCAACCTGTGGCTCTGGGACCACATGTGGCTCTTTGGTACCTCTGCAGTGGCTCTTTCAGGCTTTGACCAAAACTAAAATAAAACTTAAAAAAACAAAACAACAACAACTTTTTTTAATTTACTGCCAACAATAAAAATGGCTAGTTTTAGCAAATTTCCTGTCATTTTCAAATATGTGAAGGATAGTACAAATTAGGGATGCACGATATTTGATTTTTGGCTGATATCCGAAATGCCGATATGTTAAAACTTATTTGGCCGATAACCGATATCGATATTTTATAAACTTGCCTTTGTCAGAACATAGCCCTCTATTTAGGCTTATTTGCTACAAAAATTGTGTAACAGCTGTAAGAGCTGGTGGCATATATTCAGTAACAGGCATATGATATGCATAGCACTTTAACTTATATTAAATGAAAAGTGTTAAATATTATTTATTAGCATTAGTGACCTGCGATGCTGTCTCACTTGTAGAGGCTTTTTCTGGGTTCCAGGTGTAGTGTGGGATCCTCTGGACTCTTGTGCATGAAGGATAACCTTTTTTAGTTCAAAGTTTTTGTCTATCCTTTGTGCCTTAAAACTAATCATGCTAATGGGGCTAACACTTGACATCCTTATGTCTGTGGTAAAACTCACCCAAGTGCTATTGGCTATTAGCTTCTCAATGATGTCGGAAATGACGGCTTGTAACTCGGGTAAGGCTGCATCGGAAAAATATCTCCGACTGGGGACGATGTAGCGAGGTACAACATAGTCCATAAATCTTTGGAATTCGACATCCTCAACAACAAAAAAAAAATTAAATCCTTCCACACCGCTGACATTTTGACTTTTTCCTCTCCACCGTGATCAGATCAAGTAGGCACATGTGACGTCATCACGTTGTGATGGCGATGCAGGCATCGTCACTGGGTTGTCATACTAAAACAGCGCCTTTTATATCAGCGAGTTATTTTGATGGAACGGCCCATGTCTGATATTGAACTTTATAGCTAATATCGGCTGATACCAATACCATGCCGATAATATTGTGCATCCCTAGTACAAATACAAGGTTTGTAAAACATGTAAAACATCATGCTAGTAAATTGTTAGCCACTTTAAGTCAACTTCCAGTTTCTCAGCGTGATCTTTCAAAACCACCAGAATGTTTTGGAATGTCCTTTAGACAAATTGCTAAGAAGGAATATGTTGAGTAACTTTGATAACACTAACAATAAAACACAAAAAGCAAAGTCAAAGTAAACAAAAGTATGTATTTTTCTTTAAAACTTTAACTGTATCCAACAAACTGGCCTAACATTATACCATCTTTAACTTTATATTTTAAGTAGGATCCATCTATCCATCAATTATCTTTTCACCCGCTTCTTCCATTTTGGGTCATGGAGGTCGCTGTTTCCCATGTCCAGCAATCACTGTGCGAGGGGCGAGGTACACCCTGGACGGGTCGCAAGTTCATCACAGGGCCACATAGAGACAAACGAGACAAACAACCATTCACTCTCACGGTCACCTAGGGACAAATTTAGAGTTGCCAATCAGCCTAACATGCATGTTTTTGGTCTGTGGGAGGAAACCGGAGTACCCTAAGAAAACCCATGCAAGCGCGAGAAGAACATGCAAACTCCACCCAGAAAAACCCAAGGTCCAACTGGGGATTGAACCCAGAACCTCCTTGCTGTGAGGCAAGAGTGCTAACCACGGATCTATTGTGCTGCCACATCATAATTAGTAAGCAAAGTGACAAAAATGGCTCTTTTTATTGCAAAGGCTGCAAACCCCTGCATTAGATGATGCTGAGCTGGAGAGAAAATGAGATTTCTCTGTATTTACTGTTACATTTGTATGCTAGCATTCTTCCTTGTCCTTCTTTAGTTGCAACTCTTTACACCTTAAGCACCAGAGGAGTGTGTAAACAGACTTACCGGTAGGTGCCTTACAGGTAGGAGTTTGTTTAAGGCTGATATTATGCTATAATCTCTTTAGGTGTCTGGTCTACTGGTTCAAGACTACAGCCACGAGTATAGCCACTGGAATTCTGTCAAGTCTCTGGGTCAATGGTTGCAAGAAGAGAAGGTTGGGTTTCATATTACTCAGCACCTCGTGTAATGTCAGAGGTGAATGGAACTCTTCTGTAAATTAACATTTCACTTTCCTTTAAAGGTCCCTGCGCTCTTTGGAATAGATACCAGAATGCTGACCAAGATTATCAGAGATAAGGTTCTGTAAACGTCACTGTTGAATGTACTACTTCTTAAAACAAAGAGAATATTTGATCACTGACTCATATGTTGTTGTTGCTCCTCAGGGAACAATTTTAGCAAAGATTGAATTTGATGACCAGCCAGTAGAGATATCAGACCCCAACCAGAATAACCTTATGGCAGACGTTTCAACAAAGGTAAAAACAGCAAGACATCGAGTATATTGAGTATATACACATTATAAAATTTTTGTCTACAAACATTCTCATAGTACTAATAACTTTTTGCTGTGTCACTTTTTCATCAGGAAATAAAAGTGTTTGGAAAAGGCAACCCAATCAAAGTAGTGGCTGTTGACTGTGGTATTAAACATAATATAATTCGGCTGCTGGTGAAGGTTAGTGTCATGTGAGCTGCTGACAATTTTGATGTTGAATGGATATCTTGTTCTTTCTTTACTGTGTTCTGAGTGAAAATATAACTAATAGTTTGGTGAATACACAATTTTAGTCGCCCTTGTGTCCATAACAGGATTAATCTTAAATTTTTTTAACTCTACTTTGGGTAGTTTCATAAAAAAACCACATTGTTCTTGTTAAGCAATGCCATAAGATTAAGCAATGGCTATATTTCTCTGGGTGAAGCGAGGTGCAGAGGTACACCTGGTGCCATGGAACCAAGACTTGTTGAGTTTAGACTACGATGGCCTGTTCATATCAAATGGACCAGGAGATCCATCTCTAGCCAAGCCTCTCATTAACAACATACGCAAGGTGAGCTACGTAATGAACACAACATTCAAAAAGCGGTCATACTTAAGAACGATTAGTCCCAATATTTTTTTATTTGATGTCAGTTCAATTCAAATGCCAATATCTACAACTTCTCTTTTGAAGGTGCTGGAGAGTGATCGCACTCAGCCGGTGTTTGGGATCTGTATGGGAAACCAAATCACTGCTTTGGCTGCAGGAGCCAAATCATACAAACTGCCTATGGGTAACAGGTGAAATCTTTTATTTTTTTTTTAGGAAATGCACATCTATCTAATATGATGCCGCATCCCGTAATAAAAAAAAAACATATATACATTGTTTGTTTCCCCAGAGGTCAGAACCAGCCAGTGTTGAATGTGATGACAGGACAGGCCTTCATTACAGCACAGAACCATGGTTACGGCATAGACAGCGAGTCCCTGCCAGAAGGCTGGAGCCCACTTTTCATCAATGCTAATGATGGCACTAATGAGGTTAATTTCATTGTATTTGCATGTTCAGCCTTTTTAAAAGACAACATGGCATTTCATTCTAGGTGTAGTTCAAAACGACCAAGTTCAGGTCCTGTTTATACGACAAATCAATAGAAGACTGAAGTCTACACTTATTTTCAGAATTATTTGTTAAAATACTTGTTTTGGAGATGTTTTTCATGTCCTTATATATATATATAATATGCATGATTTTCAGGGCATCATGCACAACACTAAGCCTGTTTTCACGGCCCAGTTTCATCCGGAGGCTAAGGGTGGTCCCACTGACACAGAGGTAATTAAAGACTTTGATGGTGCTGCATAAAGTACCTGAATACTACACTGCAACTAATTAAAGGTTTATTCACAGGATGCAGTCAAGGTAAAATTGATCATATTTCACTGAAATAGCTCTTGTCTAAATGATGGCCTGGAAAAGTGAAGATGTATTCAGATGGCAGCAGAGGATAAGATAAAAATACTAATAAATATTTTTGTTTTCTTTTTATTATCTGTATGTGTTTTTGTCTGTAGGATGAAATGTTGTTTGTAAAAAAAAAAAAAAAGTCATAAATATCCAGCTATTGTCAAGAGCTGGAACCTTGTTTAGATTGAATAATTCGGAGTGATAGGAATTATCAGATGAACATTGATGTTTAAGACTGATTTTTCATAATCATTTCAGTACTTGTGATTATGTACTGGCAGTGCACTCAGTTTGTGAGCCATGTTTGTTTGAAATCAATATAAAGCTTTCATTGTCTTATCTGCTTGCACTCCAATGGAATAATTAATTTTAAAGGTGATAAAACAAACCCAGAATAATTTATTTTATTCCTTTAAGTACATTCATTGGATATAAAACACAAAATGCATGAGTCTTTTTCTTTGTCCCAGACATTTCTTGAAACTTAAAAACATCAGCTATACAATAATAAAAGTGAAACAGCAAGACTTATTTTTTCTACAAATTTTGTGGGCAAGTTGTCTAAACAAATGAATGTGTACATATTTATAATTCTGTTTTTTTTTCCCTTACAGTTTTTATTTGATGCCTTTTTATCTCTGATCAAGAAAGGGAAGGATGCCAACATAGTGTCAGTCATGCCAAAAAAACCCGACATCCCCCCCAGAGCTCAGGTACAGTAAATATGAGAAGTCAACTAATTATTTCAGTTGTGGCTCTTTTTGAAGTACGGTAGTCCCTCGCTACTTTGCGGTTCGTTTATCGTGGATTCGCTGTATCGTGGTTGTTCAAAATAAGATTGGACATGACACACAATTGGCCGATTGATGGATGAGCCGCACGATCGGCATGACATTTTTATTTTAAATACATTATTTTAAATTATTTAGCACCTGCTGCTGTTTTGTGCAGCCCACTGTAGAAAAAGCTTCCTCCTGCGCCTCTGTGCAACCTTTACTGCAGGATAAACTTCTTTCTGCAGCTGAACAGCTGATCTGTGTGCAGAGCGGAGAAGTGGGCATGGCCAAGAGCACATGCATTTCGCTGAGAGCAGCGAAAAAGAGAGGGAAATCATGACATTCTGTGCTCTTTTACAGCGTTTAGAGTTTAGAAACATTTTTTAGAATATTGCAAGAGTGTGGGAAATGTTTAAAACACCTTAATATCTATCTATATATAAATACTAAAATAAGCTGCTACTTAGTACTTGTACTACTTGTATGACTACTTCGTGGTTTTTCACTTATCGTGGGGCTTCAGGTTACGGATCCCCCGCAATAAATGAGGGACTACTGTACTCCAAAACATTTATTAAAATATGAGGGTGTAGAAGTTGTAATTTTTTGTTAAAATAGGTTTTTGAATTTATAGAAATGCATTTGGTTTTGATAAAGTATAAGAAAGATAATGTACTATTTATTTTCCTTTGAAACTGAATCTTGGCACTTTACTAGCTGCAGCTATGTACTAACTGCAGTCAGTGCTGTATTTATTATTTGTTTTGATGCAGGTTTCAAAGGTCCTTGTACTGGGGTCTGGTGGACTTTCTATTGGTCAGGCTGGAGAGTTTGACTACTCAGGATCTCAAGCTATCAAGGCCATGAAAGTAAGCGCACCATGGAACAGTTTTTAAGTTTAGTACGGCCTATTCAATTTAATTTGTGTAATTAAGTACACATTAACTTGTTTTTCATGTTTGATGATGACTGGGATAATGACTTATAATATCAAACAATGCATCTGCAAATAAAATGTGAATTTAACATACATTTAACTTAAAAACCCTGTTGAAGTTCCTCTATTCTTGTGGGATTATAGGAGGAAAACCTGAAAACGGTTCTTATGAACCCAAACATAGCGTCCGTTCAGACCAATGAAGTGGGCACCAAGCAGGCGGACTCTGTCTACTTCCTGCCTGTTACACCACAATTTGTAACAGAAGTCATTAAAGCTGAGCGTCCAGATGGGATCCTGCTCTCCATGGGTGGACAAACAGCCCTCAACTGTGGTATGATGTATACAGATGTTTTCCTACATATACTGTACTGTATATGAAACATTCATTTTATTTTGCAGTAGCTTTATTTTGTACAGCTTTTTGTGTCATCTAACCCATGAGACATTCAGTAAATGCACTTCTGCAGCTACAGTAGATTAGCAATACATTTGCATGTGAATTTGGTCTCAGGGGTAGAACTATTCCAGAGTGGGATCTTGGAGCAGTACGGGGTCAAAGTCCTCGGAACACCAGTGGAGTCCATCATGGCCACAGAAGACAGGCAGCTTTTTGCAGACAAACTTATGGAGATCAATGAGAAGATTGCACCCAGCGTTGCTGTGGTGTCGGTAAGGATTAAAAAACAAAAGATCTTTTGTACATTTTGTGTATATTTTTTCCATAGTTTGCATATTTTTGTCAAATCGTGCCGTTTTATTTTTAATGCACTTTTATATATGCTATTGCTTTTGTTCAAAAGGTTTTAAAATTGAGAAATATAAAACATTTTTCAGGTGTGTGATGCCTTGAAAGCAGCGGAGCAGATAGGGTACCCAGTTATGCTCCGATCAGCCTATGCTCTGGGAGGTCTGGGTTCTGGTCTGTGTGCCAACAAAGAAAAGCTGGAGGAAACAGCCCATAAGGTCAGAATAAATGGTGCATGTTGAGACAGTTATTAAAAATGTACATCATTATTTTTTCTTTGTATTTCATTTGATGTTAAATAAAAAGTTATATCATTATCATTCAATAGAAGAGTCTTAAGTTTGACACATCTCATTTTTTTAATTTATTTACTTTGATTTTATATATGCTTGCAGCATTTACAATACATTCAAAGACACACAATATGTTGTCAGAAACAAGTTATTTAGATAGAACGGTTCATATTTACTCTAATGGCAAAGAAAGTAAAGGTTTGCAGTTGCTAAGCAACTTTTGCTCATTTTGTTCTTATCCTCTATTCCCATGTTTTGTCTTGACAGCTTCAAGCTGTACGGGCAGACTGCTTTCAATCGCTTCATACATTTTAATGTTTTTTTTACTCCAATTTAATTTGTCTTTTTGCCCTATTTTTAAGTTAAAATTTTACATATTGTATTTGTTTTGAATGCGTAGCAGGTATATATATATATATATATATATATATATATATATATATATATATATTTATACGGGATATAAATATCCCATAACTTTAGTGGTCAAAAGGTATATAGTTTGTGTTTGGACTAATATTTTCTTAAATTGGCTTTACTTAAGTTCTTTATTTTATTTCTATCTTCATGAATTGTAAAAAAAAAAGAAGAAAAAAGCATTAACATGTTGTTTCTGCATTACCTGCAATAATGCACAGACTAGAAATAAAAAAAAGACTAAATCAAACATATATAAATTTAAACTATAAATTTATCTCAAACATTTTATTGCCATTCTTTCAGTATGACAAACCGTTGTTAGGAACTGTGTATTGTTAGGAAGATAAAGCTAAAATCTAACTCGTAATTCATTCACCTGTAATGATAAAGAATGCACTGCTGAGCTGAGTTTTGTTGCAACTGTGTTAAGGTCGATGTGCTCTTTGGGCTTTATTGCAGGCTTTGGCCATGAGCAGTCAGATTCTGGTGGAGAAGTCTTTACTGGGCTGGAAGGAGGTCGAATATGAAGTTGTGAGGGATGTGGCTGATAACTGTGTCACTGTCTGCAACATGGAGAACTTTGATCCTCTGGGCATTCACACAGGTACCAAGCACACGTAGGACCCGACACGATTCATCACTCCCACTTTATTTTCCTATGGTTTATTGGACTCACACGAGATGATAGGAAGCTGTTTTTAATTTGTCTTTTTTATTAGGAACACTTGTATCTGTTTACAAGGTCTGTATAGTTATTGAGATCAAATTTACTTTTGTTATATTCAAATGTTTTTTGGCTCTACATGACATGCTTTAGGATAAATGAATGCATTTATTTACACAGAAAAGATTTAGGCTTGAAGTTTAATCAAAACCATCTTCCTTCACATGGCCCTGTAGGGGACTCCATAGTGGTGGCTCCGAGCCAAACGCTGTCCAATGAGGAGTACCACATGCTTCGTGAGACTGCCATCAAGGTGGTACGTCACCTGGGAATAGTGGGTGAATGCAACATTCAGTACGCTCTACACCCATCATCCTTGGAATACTGCATCATCGAAGTTAACGCCCGGCTCTCGAGAAGCTCAGCTTTGGCATCCAAAGCTACTGGGTGAGAATGTAAATAGTACATGGTTAACATGCTTACCTCTTCAAATGCTTTTACTCGTGGAAAAACAGAATAGTATGCCAAAAAAGAAGTGCAGAAACGTGATTCAACCACAAATGTATAGCTTGGTAAAATCCCCTTTTGCAACAGTTGCAGGTACAATAAAGACATATGTCACACAGACATGCTTTTCCCTTTCCTCAAGACAAAACTGTTCCACTAAGCTAGAAAAATGTTGCTGGTGTTCAGCAGTCTTTAAGTCATAACCAAGTTTCTCTGTTGGATTCAAGTCTGGGATTTACTAGACTATTGTATGACATTTAAATGCATCCCCTTTGAGTACTTGAATTCTCTCAATGACCGAAATGTGTCAGCATGTATTACCGCATCCTGAAATCTGACCGGTTTTATTTGGTCCTGCCTATAAAATCTTATCCCTGCAGCAGAGCAAGATGTCACTCTGGGGACAGTGATTTCAAGCCAGAGAGATATGTTGCCTTGTACAACATTTTCATTGATGGCCAGCAGGGAATATTCATTTTATTTGACCAGAGTTCCTTTTGGACACACTTTGAGAATCTTTTTGATTCTTTAAGTCTATTTAAAAAAAAATATATATATATTTAAAAAAAAATATATATATATTTTTTTTACTATTGCCTTTTCCTGACCATGTTTCCATAAAGTCTACTTCTGTTAAACCTACAACTTGTATAACATATTTTAAAAAATGTTCAAAACACTTGAAATCACAACTTCAATATAATTCAAAATCATGTAAGTCTTTGTATTTATATCTTTTTTTATATTGTCATGAAGCAAAAATGTAAATGTGTATAAATGTACAATAGTGTCTCGCTACTTCGTGGTTTGTTTTTCACAGACTCACTATTGAGGTTTTTCAAAATAAGATTGGACATGACACACAATGGCTGATTGGTGGATGAGCTGCACGATTGGCATGGAATTTTTATTTAAAATGAATTATTTAAAATTATTTAGCACCTGCTGCACCTGTGTGCAGCCCACACTGTGAAACTTCCTTCAGCTCCTCCTTCCTTCTTCCTCCTCTGTTGATCTCCATTCTGCAGCGTAGAAGTGGGCGTGGCCGAGAGCGCAGAGTGCAGCCATAGTACAGAGCTGAAATCATGACATGCTGTGTGTGTGTTTAGAGTTTAGAAATATTTTATAGAATATTGCAAGAGTGTGGGAAGTGTTTAAAATGCCACTACTTACTACTTGTACTATCCTACTTGGCGTTTTTTTCCACTTATCACGGGTCTTCAGGGTACTGATCCCCGGTGATAAACGAGGGACTACTGTATTCCGTAAAAAAATAAAATAAAATAGGCCCACCATTGGTTGATTTTGATCTCCTCATTTTTCTTATCTCGCAGGTACCCATTAGCTTTTGTTGCTGCTAAGTTAGCTTTAGGAATCCCCTTGCCAGACATCAAAAATGCTGTGTCGGAGAAGACATCTGCCTGCTTTGAGCCAAGTTTAGACTACATTGTCACCAAGATTCCTCGTTGGGACCTTGACCGTTTCCAGGGCATGTCCCTGGAAATAGGCAGTGCCATGAAGAGTGTTGGAGAGGTGGGACAGTTCCATATGAACAAGTATTCACTCACTCCTGCTCTCACCCACTCACTAAATCTCCCTCCTTCTTTGGATTCAGGTGATGGCAGTGGGCCGGACGTTTGAGGAGAGCATGCAGAAGGCCTTGAGGATGTGTCATCCATCTGTGGATGGCTTTGTTCCCCGGCTGCCACTCAAGAAAGCCTGGGGCAACACCCAGAACCTGCAACAGGAGCTGGCTGTGCCCTCCAGCACCCGCATTTTCTCCCTTGCCAAGGTGCAGTAAAAAAAAAAAAAAAAAACATTAATAATGAATGGCACTGACTACCGCTGCTCATTAAAACCACATTTTGAAGTGTTAATGAAAAAGAAAAAGTTTTCTTTGCCCTCCTGCATGAGTAGCTTTGAATGAATAATTTTGCGTAAAAGCTCGTCTTTGAAAGCTTTGAATAGATGATTCTGAATTCATAGCACTTATAAAATCATCCGTTTTATTATTTACCTGACTTTGTTTTTCTCAAGCATGTCACAAAGATGAATCAAAACTGCATTATCTCCGAAACTGTTTGTGCACCTCAGTTAGTTTATATTGTTTCAGTGTCAAAGGAATAAGAGACTACTTGACTTACATGATCAGTCTTTATTATTAAAATGGAACAATTTTTCTTGAGCTATTGCAAAGTGATAAATATGTGCAGTGCTTCGTTCTTTTATCATCAGCTGATAAATAACCAAAATGAGGTCATGTCACTGTCAAAACCTCCAGGTTTGTGTCGTGATAGTGGAGATGTATTTTCTTTAGAAAGCAGTGGTGCATCAGTGATAGCAATGCAGCACTAGGGATTATTAATCTTTATCTCCAGGCTAACAAACATGCTTCAAGGTGGTCAAGCACAGTCATTATCACTCATATCTACCCTACCTACTGTTTGCTCCTCTGTTTAGTTTTTGCTGCAGGCGATTCATACTAAAATACCACACCCAGGACTCTAGGCTTGATTTACAGGTTTTTGTGCATTAGTACTAACTGCGTTAGGCTAACAAAATACCACATAATGAAGGTAAAATAATTATATAAGTTGCTATTATTTTAGATTTAATACTTAAAAGCAACAGAATAAGCACATTTCTTTGTCAAATATTGCATTGTTTAATTTAGCTGTCACACTGTTCGTCAAAATCTACTAGTATAAATAATAGTATTTGATGATTTTGCATGTCTGACATCTAATTTAAAGCCAGTTAAAAATGTCTGCTGTCAGTGTAAACTTTTGCTATATAACAGGTTGATGACATAGACTTATTTAAACAGATTTTTAATGAAATGCCACAATGAAAAATTGCTCCTGTAATAGATTTTACCTGAAGTAGTCCTTGAAGAAGGAATTGATGAAACCATAGGCTTCACAGTTATTGCCCTGTGGTTTTTGTATGATCACTGGATGTTCACCATCGTGAAATACGTTAAATTGCATCTTTCAAATGAATGATGGTTAAAAAAAAAGTGATGGTGATGCTCAGCCTCCTTTATTTTTCTGTTAGGCTCTGCATAATGGTATGAGTGTTGATCAGATCCATCAGCTGACGGCCATAGATAAGTGGTTCCTTCACAAGCTTCACAGGATAACACAACTGGAACAAAACATCAGAAACTACAAAAGGTAATGAACACAGATGGTAACCTTAAAGAAACAATGTTGCAATTAGTTACCACTTTTGAATCGTTATCCTTCACATATGCCAATCTCAAGAGCCGCAGGTCCAATCTGGTCCCCCAAGATGATGTAAAATATTGTATCTCTTCTAATGTTTTCTTAAAAAAGCTGATAAGTACATCATTTAGTATAGACTTCTCTTACCAGCTGGTTAACTTTGAAGCCAGAAAGATGGCTGGGTCATTCTGTCATTATTGATTCTCATGTGGAAAGAGCAACAGAATGTCAAATGAGACAGATCAAACTCTTGTTGATGAACCTGCAACCGGGAAAAGATATTGGGTATCTGATTTGAGTTAATATATCAGCTGAAAGTGGCCCATGTAATATATCAGTTGAAAGTGGCCCATGGCTCGGACAAAGTTTTATATTTTGGCTCCTTTTGGTAACCGAGTTCGAGAGCTGCCTTTTTTAGGTGGATAGTTCTGGTCACCCTGAGGCATGTGTGAGTTTTCACCAACTTCTTTAGCGTTTTCCCACAGCTAAACTGTTAGAACAGCATACATTTCAAATCAATCAAATAAGAGAAGTAAATCTTGTTAAATATGAAATTAATACAAGACTTTAAAAAAAAAAAAAGTGATAATTTGGAATGCAGAAACTATCAGCATTGACATAAACAATGCTTTTAAATTGCTACTATGAGCTTCCTGTTGCTACAAGGTGTGTGTGTGTGTGTGTGTGGGGGGGGGGGGGGTTGAATAACCTTGAATATTTTATTAAAATATTCAACTTGAACTTTTATGATTGGGTAATTAGCATTTCTTCCTGCAGTTGTTGTAAGATCTGCATATGGAACCAGTTTACAAACAGTCCTGACAAGGACAGCGCACCTGGTTCAAATGGTGATTGAGACATTTTTAACTTATGAAAACATATTTAAATCAAAATAAATCAGGATATTCTTTACTGGGAAAACATTGATCATAAACAAAGGCATCTTATAAGCACCGGTTCCTGTACATTTTGTTTTTCCTCTGAAAGGCTTTATATTTTTTCTTAGCTGTCTTTGTCTCTTTTTCACTCTCTTGCCCTCCGGCTCTTCCCTGGATGGCTCGAGTCAAAGTCATGGTGAATTATGATGGCTCGGCCACAGGTGACCTCCTGCTTTCTTATGACGCTGCTATTTAATCTTTAATGTCTAGCTGTTCAGTGAGCAACCACTGCAACACCCATACACACAGAGGATTGTTGTAGACTCCACTGCTCGTGATGCAGGGAGCATAGAGCTTGGTGCAGATAGACTTAAAGCTCTATTGCTCAGTAGATTTCAGTGACCCTCACTGTAATGTGTACTAAAGGTACTGTAAATGCACTGAATATGCCTTGACTATAGTACAAAAAATACTTTATTTTGGTAACATAAAGAAAGGGTTTTGATATTGTAGCAACTACTGCACTGACAAATGTAATGAACCTGTTTTACAGCAGATATTTTTTACAAGTATACGCTCAGTTAGATCATCAAAAGCTGCATTTGACTTCTGAACTGGACCATGCAAAAAACTAGGCTCCAAACGAGATGGTCAAACTGACCCTAAACAATGATTCTACAACTGGTGTGAAGAACGTTCTTGTTTAAAGTGTGAGCTGCAGTAAGCTGGTTGTGGCAGCTGCTGCTCCATCTTCATTTTCCTACTCAGTAATTGATTAAGGATGCACATGCATTGTCAGTTGCAGAGTCTTAAAGAAGCTGATATCATCGGATTAAAATTTGTCAATCAATCAATCAGTCAGTTTATCACTATCAAACAAACCTAAATCCTGCCTCTGATACAATAGAACAGTTTACAATATTGTTTATATAATCTATACAAAGTTTACCTTTAAAAGCAATGCACATTTTTTTATTTTCAACTTATGAGAAATCATCGATCGCTTTGATTTAATAATCAAAGTCTGACTTTAATTTTTAGAGGCGTGCAAAATAGGTGTCTGCACAAGGCTGATTTGTGCTTTACCATTTAACTGATGTTTTCATGGTTACTTGATTTTTACTAAAAACAGTCTTTTCAATTTTAGAGTTTCATCTTGATTCCTAGATGTATGTCCGCTGCTATTTTTATGCCCACTTGCTGAAAATGGCTTTCAAACAGCTGCTCCTGACAGCTTGGTTTTCTTACAACTTTGTATCGTCTTGGTCAATTTGTTATTGATCGCTCTACAGTGAAATGTTCCCTGCTGTCCACACCACTGAGTAAATGACCCGTTCACTGGATTCACCCTTATAGTTCAATGGACTTGAAAATACACGAAAATGTTAGAGAAACCAGGGAGGAAAAAATGTCTAATAAACTGACTTGTTTGATTTCACACACACAGCAAGCAGACAAATAATCCAAATCCCCTACTATTTTATACAGTGCGCGTGATGCCTAAATATCTTCTTAGCTTGTGAGATGCTGTTTTAGTTTGTTACAATAAAAAAATATATATTTTGTACCTTTTCGAGACATAATGTTTTAATTAAACACAATAAAAATTGTTTAAAAGGAACAGGAATTCGACTTTGTTGACCCGTCTGCTGATTCAGATTTGGAATATATCCAATTAGCTTCCAGCTGTGCAGATGATATGCAGCTTTGACTGGCTACAGCTGTGATAATTCTATTATTTCTTGTCTTTTCACACAGTGATACAGTACCCAAGGAAATGCTTTTGAAAGCTAAGCAGCATGGCTTCTCAGACCATCAGGTCGGCCAGACTCTTGGCTGCAATGAGAACGCAGCCAGAGAGCTGAGGCTCACTTATGACATCAGACCTTGGGTCAAACAGGTGAGCATCACTGCAGTTCTCTTTGCAGAGTTCAGACTGACTGAAGTAACAGACTCTGACAGCTTAATACACGCACATTATTTTCTTTTGGCCTCAAATACAAACGAGCTGTATTAAAAAAAAAATGGAGGTTTCAAGGTTATAGCTATGCTACTTTTTAAATTTCAGACACACTGAGATTGCAAAGAAGCTGCTGACATTTCTTTTATATACATTGTAATTACTTGCTTACACATCAAAATAGGTAAAACATTGATGGTTATTTAAAATGTTTCCTTCTATCATCCACTGTACTCTATAAAACTGTCAATCATGTATGTTTTATTGATTTAAAGATGTACTTTATTCAGAATGTAATTGCTTTACTTACACATCTCCGATTATTACCATGATCAAATATCATCCATCAATCTATCCCTTATCTTAACCCACTTCTTCCTTTTTGGGTCGCGGGGGGCATGATCAGATATAAAATCATTTAAAACGTTTAGTTAAGTTTCTAAGCATAAAATATAATTTATTAGCCTACAACAAGCCAGAGAATGCTTGCTTGTACATCTAACAAGGTGGAGTCAGATCCTCCGGGAAGGAAGTCCAACATTTCACTGATCACATCAACTCTGTGGATAAATGTATAAAGTTCACATGAAACAATGTAAAAAATGGCAGGTTGGCTTTCTTGGCTTGTGAGGTCTCAGTCTCTGATGGAGGACATTTGTAAATGGATGTGCACTATAAAACCACTCACACAGACCAGTACTTATGGTTTGACTTCCATCACCCTCTAGTGCATGTTAGGAGTCATCAGGACTCTGTACCACAGAGCGGACAGCGTCCCCACTAACTCAGGAGCCAGGCAGAAGGAGAAGGCCCAGGAACAATGTGGATATCTTAACTGGGCCTTCCTGAAAGCAGAGGAGAAACCCAAACAGGACTCCAGCCAGCTATCAGGTGAAAATGAGAAACCCAGACCAGTGGTCATTCCACATGTGGTGGGAGTTTCAGAGAAACTGACATTTATTTTTTAACCATGACAGTAGCTTTTAAACCCCAAAATACATTACAGCAAAGACTGGTTCATCCCAAAGATCCAGTCCCCCGGCACAAACAGAGCAATGTTGTGTATGTTGTTCAGAGCCAGGAGGGCTGTGATCAGTCTTACATCAGGAAAACTAAACAGCCACTGGCCAAAATGATGGCCCAGCACAGAAGAGCAACATTATCAGTCCAGGACTCTGTGGTTTACACTCATCTGAAAGTCTGTGGTCTCCCTTTCAGAGATGAAGATGTTCACATCCTTGATGGAGAGGAATGATGGTTTGAGAGAGAAGTAAAGGAGTCCATCTTTGTGACGAGAACTCCTTCATCATGAACTCTCTTATAATGTTGTAATTGCAATTATCACTCAACCCCCTGTGAATAGCAAGCGGCCATCAGGGTCTAACAATCAGTCATTAGGCTGATGGTCTTCCTTTTGCATGTGAATAACTAGTTTTGGCTGTCACCAGCAAACTGGTTGATCCACCATGAGAAGGTGCTGCTTATAAAACTGCTTGCAGCTCCTCAGACTGCTCTTTTGGATAAAACACAAAATGTTTCAACATTGAAGAATCTGTCCAGAAGACTTGACTCAATCTTGTTAGATTTATCTACTTGGATTATTGAGCAGGGTGGCACAGTTGGTAGAGCTACTGCCTCTTGGCGAGAAGGTCGCTGGATCGAATCCCGGCTGGGGTTTCATTCTGGGTGGGGTTTCATTCTGGGTGAATTTGCATGTTCTTTCCATGCATGCATGAGTTTTCTCCGGGTATTCCAATTTCCTCCCACAGACTAAAATGGTTGTTTGTCTCGTTTGTGTCTGTGTGTCTCTGTGATGGACTTGTTACCTGTCCGGGGTGTACTGTCCTCATGCACAGTGACTGTTGGATATGGACACCAGTGACCCCTCGTGACCTGAAAAGGAAGAAGCGGGTAAAGATAAAGGATGGATGGATTATTGAGCATGCATCAGGGCACTTGCTTGTGCAGTTGTATAGTATTATGTTTTTTTTTTTTGTAGATATTTGATGTGCTGATATTTTTCAGATAATTTTGAGTGATTGAGGAAGTCGACACAAATGATCTTCAAGATTCTTCTAAAGCGGAACTGATATTGTTATTATTCTTATTCTGATAGCTCAGCCTAAATAGTGACACGATCAGTCATCAAATTGCAAATAAATCATACCAGCTCAAACCGTGTCTGTGATTTCAAAAGGCAATGTAGACAAGTTTGTCTGCATCCCACTCTACAGGATAAAACCCCCATTTAGGCAAATGTTCAGTAAATTGTAAATTACACTTTACTCAGAACGTGAGAGGTTTTAAATAGAAGTGAAAAACAATTTTCAAGATACTGTGGATAAACCTCAGACCAACCTTGAGACATTCAAATCAACAGGAATTGATTTGTCAGTTAAACAAGATGTTCAAACTTTATAGACATCATTCAAAGAGTGAAGTCAATTTGTATATTGTTGGACTTTGTATTTTAGATGACAACTATTGGTTGTAATTTCTGTGCTCTATAGTTTACACAATGTTTTCCAAGTTCTGTTTTCCCCTGGATAGATTTGAGAATTTTTAAGAAATGTTATAGATTTTTTGTTTGTTTGTTTGTTTTTTTCATTTTTCAAATATGTTTTGCTCTTGTGCTCTGCTTTCTCTGACCATGGATTCAGAGCTTGAAGCTTATGTTCAGAATGTAAACTGATGCTCAGAGAGTAAACTCATTTCTCAGAGTGCAAAGAACTCTTAAGTTTAGTTGTCCGGGCTAAATAAGCAAAGAACAGCAGAAAAAAAAAAATTGTTTCATTCTTTGAATCCATGTTGCCCTATTATTTTTCTTTTTTTTTTCTAGATCGACACCTTAGCAGCCGAGTACCCAGCAATGACCAACTACTTGTATTGTACTTATCATGGTCAGGTATGTTGTCTCAATTAGGAAAAGTTTTTATTTCAGTCCATGTGACAAACATGGACATATGTATGTGTATGATGAGACTGTATTGTTTTCTCGATGCTACTTATTGAAGATGTTTTGTCAATTTGTCTTCACCACCAGGAACATGATCTAGAGTTCAAAGATCAGGGAATTATGGTTCTTGGTTGTGGACCTTATCACATTGGTGAGTCCCACATTACACTTTTATAACATACCACTGTACTGTAATACTAATTTTGTTCAATTTTTTTAGAAAATTAGTCACTTTATTTTTTTATATGTTTTTTTTTTTTTATACATATTTTACTTAATCTATACTAATGCTGAAAAGTTTTTCTTTCAAAGGATTTGCCTTTTCACATAACAATTTGTACGTAGATCTGTACAACTTAGGTTTAAACTTGCAACACACAGTAACTAGTGTGTTTTTAACAATTATCACCATTCTGCAGCTGTTTATACGCCATGCTAAAACGCTGAACTCCTTTTTGTGTTTGCCATACTTCTGTTTACCCACTGTGTAATACACTAGGCAGCAGTGTTGAGTTTGACTGGTGTGCAGTGTCCAGCATCAGAGCCTTGAGACAAATGGGCAAGAAGACTGTGGTGGTCAACCACAACCCTGAGACTGTCAGCACTGACTTTGATGAGTGTGACCGTCTTTACTTTGAAGAGTTGACCCTGGAGCGCATCCTTGATATCACCCAACAGGAGGTTTGTCTGTTACTGTTTCCTTTTATGTGCCATCATTATGAACAAAATAGAAATGTTGTATTTGTTCTTTCTTTTTTGTTTGTTTAAAAAATTGAAACAATTGCAACGTTTTTATCTGTTCACTCAAAACTAAAACCCTGTTTCTTGATCCAACTCACCAGTATTTTTACAGCTTATTTCTAACACACCTTTCTTATGTTTCAGAATTAAGTTAGACTTAAAAGCACCCAAAATAACATATTTTACCAAAATTAGAAACATATTAGACAATTGTTTTAAACTACTTGTATGAGTTTAGGGTGGCTTTTAATGATGTCTGACCTTTTCAAATTTGTATATCTGCTTATAAATCTGTTTCATTGATTTATTTTTACCTTACTGTTGCATCCAGATTTAAACTGTATTTACTGTAATGTAACCCTAACCCAGAATATGTCAAAACATGTTCATGGATGTTACAACTGACATTTTATTTTGTTTACATCTGTTGGTGTCTGCGTATACAGTGCATGTGTTTGGGCATACTAATGTCCACTGAATTGCCCCTGCAGAGGAATTGTAATCCAGTTAAAGAAGTGATGGGATCACAGTGTGATTAAGTGTTTGTTAGTTCAGGGACACAGCCTTACCATCAATCCCTCTCTTACAGCTACATTCCCCTCTTGCTTTTGTATATGTGTGTGTATGTGCGTGTGATAAATACAGCATTAGAGCATGGAGATAACCCCTGGACAGGAGCAAGAGAGCAGGTCCATGAATAATGAAGAGATACAACCTGGCATTGTCATGGAAACAGCATCCTCCTTGGATCACCTAGACAGAAAAAGAGGCTGCATGTAGTTATTCAAAAAGCATATACAGATTTGGTCTAGTTTTCATGCACCCAATTGTGTTTCTATGACTAGTGTGCATAACATTTACTCACAGTTATCAACCTAAACTAAAATTCTAACTTATGTAAATCTAAGCTGATTTATCCATAATAGATACTGTTTTAAGATACCACAGTATTGTTAGTATCCTTTCTTTTTTAATTGTTTATTCTATTTATTATTATTTTTTTCTTCTATTCCATCACTTTTCTTGTGTTGCATGTGATCATATGTGTTTTCTCTACTCTACAGGGCTGTTCTGGTAGCATTGTGTCAGTAGGAGGTCAGATTCCCAACAACTTGGCCATGCCGTTGCACCTTAATGGAGTGAAGATTCTAGGGACAAGCCCTCTGCAGATTGACAGGGCAGAGGAACGCTCTGTCTTCTCCAGTATTCTGGATAATCTTGAGGTGGCCCAAGCCCCTTGGAGGGCGCTGAGCTCACTGGTGAGAGCAAATATACAAATGACAAAAACTTTAAGCATTTTGAGGCTATTACTGTAGTTTTTGGCAAGTCATGAAGACATTCGAGTTACTATTTAGATTTATTTAGAATTAGATTTATTTAGAATAGTTACAAGGGTTGTGCATCTCTGTTGTGTGGTCAGTATGATACATAAAGTATCTCGGAATAATTCCAAGTCTGATTTATTACATTATTAACAACATATGATCAGCAAAAACCAACACAACACAGTATGATTCAGCTCGTAAACATAATTTGGTGCACTTCAATATGAGTTTGAGTCAACCCAACAAGATTCAGTGCAATACAATATGTCAAAGCAAAGTAATGATTTTGTTCATTAGTTTATACTACCTGATAAAAAAATGACTGCTTACAAAAGGATCTTGAGTTTTAAGACCTTTCAGTAACTCAGCAGTGAGCAGAAAAACATAATTTTCTACAATATAAAGACAAGTTCACTTTTTTCTCCCTTCTATTTTTTTTAAATCTGGAGTATTAGTTGAGACCAGACCAGGGTCAAGAACACTATAGTGTTTTTAGCTTTTTGTACCAGAGCTGCTGTAGATCTCCTAAACTTTAGGCATTGCTACTGAGCAAACAATACAGCCAATAGCACTTAAAGAAGATCCCAAAAATAAGAATTTAAAGGAGGTAAAACCTTCATACACAAATGTATCTGCATTTTTTAACCTTTGCTTTTTAAAGTGAATTTCTGTATGAATCAACCTGCTTGCAGACTTTTATTTGAAAAACTTATCTGTGCAAAGATGTAATATCCCGTATGAATTTCACAGTGTAATGATTAGGGCTGTCGCCTGACAACAAGATGGTTGCAGGTGTTGATGTGGAGCACAAAGCATGAAATGAGTGTCGGACATCTCCAATCCTACATTTAGCAGCAGCCTGTTCACACAGATTGTGATAACTACAGCACCCCCTCAAGCAGGGGTACCCTTACACATAACTGTTTTGACTCTTTCACCATCTTTCTCTGTCATTCAGAGGCATAACAGCAGCTGGTTGACCGTAGCCCCTAATGTCTCCTCAGTTTCTTATTCAATGACATTAAGGCTAGCAGAAGGTGTCAGACCCAAATGGTCTGTGAAAGGGGCTACAGTTTTGTTAGGCTTAAGTTAGATGATCAAATTTAGATCAAACAAAAGACTAATGAATATTAGACAAATTAAACTGTCTTGTTACATTTTACCAACAATAAGAAAAACAATATTTTAACCTTTTTAAACTATAAACAGTGTTAGTATAGTATTCTCTTACCTTTGCACATTTTTTAAGCAATATAGATGTGGATCTATTTATTTAAAGAAATAAAACAAACACAGATTTGGACTTTCTCAAAGCCATTGCTACTTACCGTATTTTTTGGACTATAAGGTGCACTGGATTATAAAGCGCAATAAGCGAAACAAAACAGTCAGATAAGTCAAATTTTATTCAACTCATTCACAATAACACTCAACATTGTTCAGTTGTATCACATACAATTGGTTTGAGGTCAGTAAGCACAACCAGAATTAATACATAAGGTACACCTGATTATAAGTTTCACTGTTGATTTTTGAGAAAATTAAATGATTTTAAGTGTGCCTTATAGTCTGAAAAATATGGTAATCACAATTCCACATTCCACATCATGTTTTTTTTTTTTTTTTTTTCTTTTCAACTCTTATCTGGCTCCATGAAAATTAAGGCCCTGTGGAATTATGTGGACTACAAAATTGCAGCATATTGGCAGTTACAGTTAAAATATGCTTCTTCCATTACGTTTGGTCTTGTATTGATGTACCACTGAGGACCGATTATCTACTACACACACAGATAAGTCCAGTGTGTTTCTTCAGACTTTCCCTACATTTTCTATTTCTGCACCAATCTTGAAGAGCCAGTTTGCTTTTAATGGGTTGAAATAACTTCAGCAGAGCCATGGGGAGATAGCTCTGGGAAGCTATTTTGTATTTATAAATGGTACCTTACCTGGTGAAGGAACAGTTGTTAATGATTAAGGGGAAAAAGGCTAAACCTGAAGAGAGACAAAGCTGGGAGAAAAGACGATGATGAAAATGATGATGAGGAGGAGGAGTAGGGCATACAGTCTTTCTCTAACAACTAGACTTTTTTCCACAATTTCTACTCTTACATCTTTCATAAACTGAGTGGGTAGAGGGAAAAAGTCAAAATAGGAATAAATTAAAGGGAGCCAACATTATCGGTTTTATTTTTTAGAATTGCCCTTTTCTTGGCAGAGTAGAGCTGTACCTCTTGTAGGTTTTCAAAATGTATGTAGATGAAATTAGAAGAGGCTAAAAGAGTGGGTGGGGTGTTATTACAAGGACGTGATTGAGCACAAAGACACCTTTTTAAAATGTCAAGTGGGTCTAATTGCATAGTCTTTTAAATTATTATACAACCTTAAATACCACTAATGTGTGAAGAAAATTTCAGGTGAGTTGCCTGCTTTAAAATGACTCGTAGCTCAGTGTTAACCTTCTAGGACCTGGCATCCACATATGTGGACAACCTGGCATCCACAAATGCAAGAGTTCTGGTCTTAGGAGGTTAAGGTAATCAGTTGTTCAATTTATTTCATTAGCAGCACTAATACTGATTGGTTAAATTAGGCTGTTTTTCTTTTTAAACATGTTTTTGTTTAAAGCGTCAGTAGATTTAAAAAAAAAATATATATATATATATTTTTTTAAATTTAATTTAATTTATTTATTTATTTTATTAAATTTTTTTGGCCTAATCCGGTATATATATATCCATCCATCCATCCATTTTCTTTACCCGCTTATTCCATTTTGGGTCACAGGGGTCGCTGGTGCCCATGTCCAGCAATCACTGTGCGAGGGGCGGGGTACACCCTGGACGGGTCGCAAGTCCATCACAGGGCCACATAGAGACAAACGAGACAAACAACCATTCACTCTCTCACTCACACCTAGGGACAATTTAGAGTTACCAATCAGCCTAACATGCATGTTTTTGGACTGTGGGAGGAAACCGGAGTACCCGGAGAAAACCCACGCATGCACGGAGAGAACATGCAAACTCCACCCAGAAAGGCCCCTGGACCGGGGTTTGAACCAAGGACCTGCTCGCTGAGAGGCAGCAGCTCTACCAGTTGCGCCACCGTGCTGCCCGTATATATATATATATATATATTTTTTTTTTAATTAATTGTCTCAAATTATTGCTATAAACAACAATATTGTTTGAAATTTGACAATAATTAGTTGTCAAATTTAAGAAGAAATGATGGTAAATTTTTGCGTGTAGTACCTTTTTTGACCACTGGATGGCAGTGTAAGACTGTTTGAACTGAAGGCTGGATAGTGCGGGAGCGAGCAGCGTGTCTCTTAAAGAAAAATAGGAGGGAGGCCCCTTGACGTGACATGGGCTTTCTCCCCTTCCTGTTTTTCGGTTCTCAAAATGGCGGACGCTCGGTGTGGTTTGAGCTCTTTAGCATAGCATTTGTCACACAAAGTTTTTAATTAAAAAAATCATTAAACAAGTCTGCAGCTTCTTTTTGCAGAGGAAAATAAAACTTTTTAGACAAAGGCACGGGTTTCAACTGTGAATTTTGTAGCTTCGACAAGGCAGAGGTTTTTCCCTTGTAGCTTATCTTCTCAGCTTAGTTACTTTTAACGATACAAAAACGCAATTTTGAAAGAAAAAAGAGAAAGGAATGGGTCAGTGAAGAGCACCGGAGTTGATCCTTTTGTATCCAGCGTCCAGTAGAAAGAGAGAGACACGAAGAAACGATAAAGCCAATAAATGAAAATGAGGTTGATCATTTTCATTTATCATGCAATTAATTGATTTATTGTTTGTGACAGGCCTAGTTGTGGCTGAGCTCAAGATGCTGCTGTTGTTGGGCAAGATTACCGCTATCATTAACACGTTATGTTCAATTTCACAATACTGATGATTTCATTGTTGCTATAACTAAGAATTTCTTTTTCATTTTTGTATCGACCTTTTTTTCAAAATTTGTCCTGTTTTAAGGATCTTAAAGATTTATTATCTTCAAGTTTCTATTTATTGTTACAAAAGTACAAGATCGTGAAGACTATAAAGTGTTCTCCCTCTGGCACAAAACACATCACAGCAGGAGAACATCATCTGATAGACCAAAACAGTGACATGTGAAGGCTTTGCCTCTGCTTAGTTTTTCCGAGTAATTCTTCTTCTTATGGGGATGTCATGCTGGTGAAAGATAAGTAAAACAGTGCTGACAACTAAAAAAGAGTTTGTTTTTGTCACATGATTGGGGAATTTTCTACATATGTTTTTACAAAATGTAAGCAGCAGTAACATACTGAAGAATTTTAAATGGGGGGGAAAAACAGCAATGGCAAAGGTGACTTGACTTGACACTATCCATCATCACCTCCTTGCACCTCAACAGTCATAACAGAGTCAACCCATCAAGCTGTCAGGCCTCTGTAGATTTTGGTGCAAACTTTATGTCCTTTGAGTGCCCATCCCATCTATTTTATACTTCTGCTATAAAAACAATAGTCAAAGCAGACTTCACAGAGATATACTCATTGGTTGTTTAGTGTAACTGTGCTGTTAGCAGCAGGAGAATCTTAACTGGTGTTTATGCTTAGTGTTACAGGGATGCTTTCTGAATTCATGACATAACTGTGAAGTCATAGGATGTTTTGTCATCATGTGTTTTGTGAGGCTTTGTCAAACTTTCACTGTGTTGAAAGGAAATGGTGCGTTTCATGATTTTACACAATATGTGCTTTCTGTAACTCTAAGTCTTATCTATAGACTTCCTATATAAGACTGTTAACATCACTAACTCATGTCCACAGTACCGGTCAAGTTCGCGGTTTTTCAAAGCAAGAGTGGACATGACACACAATCGTCATGAAATTTTTATTCAAAATAAATTATTTTAAATTATGTAGCACCTGCTGCATCTGTGTGCAGCCCATAGCTGCAGGATAAGCTTCCTCCTGCGCTCGCAGGTGGCAGAGTGCAGCCGGAGGCAGAGAGCTGAGATCATGACAACATATATATTGACATACACACAGAATGCGTTTCCATCATGCTTTTGAGGTTTTGATAATTTCTTATGAGTTACACATCTAAAACAATTGTTGCAACATGTGAAATCTTACTAAAACCAAACAAGGACGTCATTAAAAAAAGATATACAGGTAGTTTATCGAGGTTTAGTGTGATGCTACTTTGGACTTTGTGTGTTTCAGGGGTTCTGTACTGTGTCAGATCGGTGACTTTATGATACATTTGCTGTTTGATGTTCTTTTACAGGAGGATGCGTTTGCATTCGCCAACGAGGTGGGTTACCCCTGTCTCCTACGGCCCTCTTACGTGCTCAGGTAAATGTTCTTACTTTCCCTATCAACTATCATTTCAACCTCTGTATGTTTTGTGAATTTATATATTTTGGTTGCAAATTATATTATTTTCTTATCCTGTTAGTAGTCTCTTACTATCAGATGTGAATCTATTAGTGAAATATTTTATTATGTTTTGTTTGTTGGAATTTTTTGCAGTTTAAACTGCAAGGACAAACACTTTATATTATTTCAAATTATTTTATTAACAAAAAACAAATCTTGGTCGGTTAAGGCATGAATGCAAATAATTTAAATTCATAGTTAATTATCAGACTTATTGCTAAATGAATAAACTATATATTATTTATAAAGATTAATGACTAACATTCACAGAAATGCCCCTGGAACCATGTAGTAAAACATCTGTCCAGCAGATGTCAGGAAGACTCCCTGAATTCAGCTGGACTTTTTGTGCCCCTGGAACCTTATTCCTTTGGAAATTAGCTCTTTTTTGTTATGTTTTTGTGTATTTTATTTAGTACTTGAGAAATAGTCATGTTTTAAAACGTATATAAATGTGAAGGAGCAACATCTGAGGAAAATCTGGTCAAATTTAAAACCTCAACTGCCACGCTAAAGGATGACAGTTGTGTGTTATGAGTTCACTTTGACGTTGAAAGAAATGTTACATTAATGATCTAAACTGGAATAATAATCTGTGTTGTGATTAAAGCTAAATGATTTAAGAGAACTCTTCTTCCTTGTTCTCTGTGGTGTTTGAAAGAAGAAAATTATTTCTGATCGTTTTCATTCCTACAGCTTTTGCTCTTTTGTGGTTATATATTTTTTTCAGTTCTTTTAGGCTTCAGTAGTTATGCACAATTAGTCATAAATGCATATGCCAAACATGGTGTCTTTGCATGTTTTCACCAGTAAAATGGCCTACTCTAACAAATGCATCTTATTTGCATATTTAAGTTGGTATTCATCTCAGGTAATGGAAACATTTACCTCTGATATCCCAGTTCTGTTCAAAACAGCTGAGCAAAATGACAACAAAAGGGGTTTCAGACTTCTTCATTAAAATTTCTATAAGGAGAGAGCATAGTGTAAACTTCAGGCTTATGATCTGTTCTATTGACTTTTGACTGGACCAGCCTTTGTTTTAGACCAACAGATGATTGTATTATCTTACGTAAAAGGAAAAGAAAGACTGTGATGTCCAGAGAATATTAATGCAAAAATGTTATCCAAGTCAACCAAATGCCTTAATATGCCATCTAAGTCAATGCCATTCTATAAAAGAAATGCACGAGGAATCATCTGTCACTGATGAAGGTCACTATACTTTCAGAGACTGCACATATGTCTCCCTCAGAGCTTCAGACGTTTAAAAAATCAAGATCTGACTGAAGCCTATGGCCTTACTTTGTCCTGTTTCTTAAACCCTTCTTTTCAAACAGGATGATAACCCTGCTAAAATCCAAAATAACAACCACAACAAAACTAGCCTAAATCTGTTGTATTTTTAATGATGAAGTTCTGAACTCATTTTCAGGAGCCTGAAGTGCTTTTCGACCTAAATAGCTGCTGTTCTCTGTTGCTCTCTCTCGCTCCTTATTTTGCCTGTTTCCAGACCTTGCTCCCCATGGTAATAGTGATGCAATAGAGATAATGAGTGTTTTGAACAATCATTTGAAGCTTGTATCTTCTCCTGTTGGCTCGCTTCTCCTCATCTCCTGTGCCCTTGTGTTTTTCGCTCCATCACTCTCTGTCTTTCCCATCGTTTGCCATTTGAATCTCGCCAGTGGCTCTGCAATGAACGTTGCGTATGGAGAAGAAGAAATGAAACGCTTCCTGGAGGAGGCTACACAGGTATCTCAGGTGAGATAAGTGTTAGATTTAAGTACATGTCTGCACATGTGAAATGGACACACTGACATATGTCTCCTTTCTTATGTCTCACCATCACTTTTCATTTTTCACTTTCTTAAATTAGCAAGTTTCTCACCAACCCTGTCCCTCCTCTCAAAATTCATTTGTTCTGTTCCCTCTGTTTTCAATTAAAACTAATGCAAAAAACTGGTCAAGGGTCAAGGCTGTTGGTTAGTGTTAATTGTCACATCCTCTTCTTTAAACACCAAAGTTGTTGTGGGCAACTAGAACCCCTGCCTGGGACTAGAAGCACAGATGCATGCACAGCTTCAGAGTACCAAGAAAGCATGTTTATCTTGGTTTCAAAAGTTTACAAGTCTTAGATATTATATATCTATTTTAACAGATACAGTTTAAAAAATGCTTAGTATATATTGTTCATCATTCATAAAATTTTAAACAAAAAAGTACATTATTTTAATTTTACCATTGGTTCTACTTTTTAGAAAAGACGGTTCAAACCCACCAAATGTGCAAAATTACAAACTAATTATGGTCTACTCCTACTCCTAATGATTTTATTTTGATTATACATTCTGGTTTTGCTTGAATAGGAACTGACATGAATAATGTCTTTATAATAAACATTTATTTTAGAATTACAGTAGTCCCTCACTTATCACAGGGTTTATTTACATTCCAGACACCCCCGCGATAGGTGAAAATCTGTGAAGTAGGGACGTTATATTTATTTTGGTATTTATATATAAAGGCTTTATAAACCCTTCCCACACTCTTGCAATGTTCTTAACAATGTTCTAAACTCTCCAAACGCTCTAAAAGAGCACAGCGAGAGAGAGAGCAGACAGACTGATTCTACAGTTACTGAGCCAATAGGACTGGCTATCGAGAGCACTGGGACACTTCCCGGTCCGGCCCACTAAGTGATCGCTGAGGGGGACTAAAGGTTCGGTTCGGTTTGCACTTGGATTATTTTAAAGAAACAATCCATGCTGCTCGTTTGGCTCACTCAGGTATAAGACGTCTTATACCTGAGTGAGCCGTGCACAACCACTCTCTCCCTTAAACTGATTTACTCTTATCTTTCCACCTAAGCATTTTCTCCGATATTCTACATTTGTTCATCTGATCTGTTCAACCCTGCTTCCTTAGCAGTAGCGATGGGGAAAGAGAGACCCCACCCCCTGCCCCCTCCATTCTCTTTCTGAGGACAGTCAGCCTCAGAAAGAGAAAGGAGGGGTGGGGTCTGTCTTTCCCCATTGCCAATCGTGTGTCGTGTACAATCTTACGTTGAAAACCTGCAAAAGAGTGAGTCCGCGAAAGTCGAACCACGAAGTATTGAGGTACAACTGTATCCATAACTTCAACAAAAAATTGTCTGCATTTCTTCCAGGAACATCCAGTGGTCATCACAAAGTTCATACGTGGAGCCAGGGAAGTAGAAGTAGATGCTGTGGCTAAGAATGGCAAGGTAATATTATTATTATTATTGTTGTCGTTGTCGTCGTTGTTAGCATCAACGCAGCATAAAATTTATGAACATTTTGTTGAGTTATATTTAAAACATTACTTGTCATAACAACTTACATCTGACACATGGTTTTATGTTGCCCTTAGTAACATTCTAGAAATGACTTAGTCTTAAATTGAACATAATTCACTGTGTCATAATATTCATTTTATAATGGTTATATAATTATTTATTTATGTAGCTTGGTATTATTTTATTATTATTGTTGTGCTTTATTTAATTGGGAGACTTCGGGTATATATAGTATATAGAGTGCAGGTATCCAAAGTGGTTGAATTAGGTGAAAGATCAATTCATCCTGAATAGAAAACATGTTACAGCCAAGTAAGATTTGTGGATCTGTTGACATAAATAAAATGCTAAATAAATAAAAAAAAAAAGAAAAGTTTATACTTTTTTTTTGTTTTGTTTTTTAGATTATATGTTATTAGGTTATACTTCATTGAATTATTCGTCCTCACAAATGTATTTTGTTTTGTTGGCAAGTTTTATATCACAGAAAATAATTTCTCATGCTTCAATCATTTGAATAAGTTTATTGAGATACACACCTAATCTCAGGTGACATGCAGTGGCATAGCTTCAAGTAGTTCAGCTGCATCTGCAGACAGAGTTGCACTAGGTGACATCCTGAACATCCTGTCTGCTTTTCTGTTGTTCAGACTGTGAGAGTCATTTCAAGGGTGTCAGATTGTACGTGGGCTATCCTGTTCTACGGTAGATTTTTTCACTCTGTCCTCTCTGAATACAACCCCTCCTTTATCTTCAGTATCACATTAACAAGCCGTCCACTCAGTGAATACCAAACAGCCCTCGTTACTTGTGTGTGTAAGAAAGTGAAAAAGTTCGAGATAATACGTATTAATTACAGGCTCTATCTGAAGAGTGCTAATGAATGCTGCGGTTAGCAACCGTTCAAATGAGCTAATGACACAGCAGCTCATTTACAGACACAAGATTGCGCAGTCTCTTGGAGATTCAAATCTTTTCTCCTTTGGGTGGAATGTTTGAAGCTATTCTTTTGACTGCATATCCATTCACATTGTTCCTTTTTCCACAGTGAGCTCCAAGGTAAGGATATGCAGTGTTTTAGCAAATACTTTTTCAGTGATAAATTGGAAATCTAAAAAAAAAATGGAATAGGAACAATTCATAAAATGTACGTGTGGATTCAGAACGTTTTTTTCATGTCCAAAGTTGACATTTTTGTAAAACACCTCATTTTGTTTTTTCTACAGAGACTTTTGTTTTCTTAAATAGTGTTCTTATTAAATTTAAAATCTCCTAATACACAATAAATCATCCATTGGTTTCGAACAACAATAACATTTAATGTAGGTACAATTTATTATACCCTGTATAAAAACATCAAGTCTGGAGGTCACTTACTTCCATGCCAGATGCTTTCTTTTAATCATCAAACCAAGGCTGTGAAACTATGATTTAATAAGTCATTGCTTTTGTTGTTTAGAGCCACAACTTGCTTTGAACTTTGTTTTGTTTATTGTGACTGTGTCTGTCCAGGTTCTGGTCCATGCCATAACGGAGCATGTGGAAGATGCTGGGGTACACTCTGGAGATGCAACACTGATGCTTCCAACCCAAACCATCAGCCAGGGAGCTCTAGAGAAGGTTAGCTAAGTCACATTCATTTTTTAATGTTTTAGTTTTGAGCAACAGTTTCTGTCAGCAAGGGTCTCATGAATATCACAAGACAATATCCCTTATTGCATTGCATGGTGTCACGACTGTTAATAAATGCTTACTTAAAATGAGCTTCTTTTCAGATATGCATTGCTTTCAATTAATTGCCTTATAGCTTAATGTGCAAATCCTATGCGAATGAGCAACATGCGCTTTTCCATTCCACAGTCGGTAACTACAATCTGATTACATTGAGTTGAACCTATTTAAACATATAATGCTTTTCATGTGTTTTGAGTCTGAACTTCTACAGTTAAATGACAAAACAAGGATATATTTTATTGGTTGGGCACTTTGACTTAAGATCAGTTGTTCAAATAACTCTATACCTACGTTCACACTGCAGTCAAATGTGGCCCAAATCAATTGATGGGATTGATACTTGAGTTTGTTTTTACCTTCAATATGTCACTTCCATTCCAAAAATGCAATGCTGTGCCGGAGGATCTGTCAAGATGCAAGATTAAATATAAACTCTGCATCAAATAAGCATGTCTGATCTTGGACATAAAAAAAAATATATATATATATATATATATATATATTTGATGAATATTCTTAATCATGTTTGTGTTTAACATTTTTTTAAGGAGAGGCTACTGAATCATTGTCCTTTATAAAATGTCCATTTCAAACTCATTCAGCTCACTCCACTGCCCCAAGTCATGACCTATACTGGTTATATTCTAATGTGGTGCTTTATTGCAAAAACTCCTTCTAATAATAGTTTTGCAAAACAAAATATGATAAAATGTTAAAAAGTAGATTATGTCAGTGTTATTTGTCAGCCACAAGATTTTGAAAATACATTCATACCCATTTATGGTTTTCCTTGAAACAATTTTAACATGAGATCTTTGCATTTCAATCTCACAAAGTGTGGAAAATGCACTGCCTGGCCCAAAAAAAGTTGCCACCTGGATTTAACTAAGCAAATAGATACAAGCCTCCTATTGGATAATTACTGCATGGGAAATTATCTGAAAAAATCCTGAATGATCGTGATCGACGATCACTTAAACGTTTGGTGAAATCAAATCAAAGAAAAACAACAGTAGCACTCAAGGCTATGTTTAATAGTGAAAGTAAGATCATTTCCACACACACAATGGGAAGGAAACTCAAGGGATTGGGAATGAACAGCTGTGAAGCCTTAAGAAAAGTACTAATCAACGAGGCTAACCAGAAAAAAAGGCTTCAATTTGCTAGGAAGCATAAAGATTGGACTCTGGAGCAATGGAAGAAGATCATGTGGTCTGATGAGTCCAGATTTACCCTGTTCCAGAGTGATGGGCACATCATTGTAAGAAGAGAGGCAGGTGAAAAGATGCACCCATCATGCCTAGTGCCTAGTCATACCATACCATTTTATTTATAGAGCACTTAAAACAGCGACAAGGCCAACCAAAGTGCTGTACAGACAGAAAAACAGGCAACACACAAAGCAATATACAAAATGAATACAAGATCTTGATGAAAAATTAATGCGACACTGGATGGAAACAGACCAACATTACAAAGCTTATCGAAACAATGTCACAGCAAACGCATGCCGTAATCAAAGCTAAAGGCGATCCAACAAAATATTAGTGCGTGACCTTTTTTTCTCGTGGTGACTTATTTTTTGGCCAGGAAGTGTATCTGCATCTGTAGCTTACCTTAACACTAACAATTTATTGCTGTATTTTATGTTCAAAAACCATCCACGGCCACTTTAATTGAAAACATGGGTCAGGCCACTTCGGCTAAAAGCGAGTTAAATACTTCAAGCTACATAGCAATGATCCTCCAAGGTCCAGTGACCAATTGTCACTCTTTACTGCCTGTGCAGTTTTAGACATAAAACCAACTGTTCATGTTAATATCTTTATAAGCTTACTGTCACTTTGGGTCATTATATGTCCACTCTCTTCTTAAGCATCTCATTATAGTAGAGTCACTACTGGCATTACCAATTCTACCAGCAGCATTACAAATCTCACAATATTGTTCTAGTTTTGGTGGTGTCATAAAACCCCAGTTAACCACCAAACAGTGATTTCATCAGTTAGCTGTGTTACCATCCAATATGAACACATCTGAATAGCATGCCTAAGTATTTTTGTTCTTTTTGCACCTTTTGCTTATTTAGGAATCCCTTCACTCCTCATTTTCTTGTGAGACATTTAGCAGTGGTTCCCAACCCTGGTCTTCAAGGAACACCATCCTATATATTTTAGTTGTTTCTCTGCTCCAACACACCTGATTCAGTGATTTAATTATTTCCTCATTTTATGCAACCTGTTAATCACCCATTCATTCAAATCAGGTGAGTTAAAGCAGGAAAACAATTAAAGCAGGATGGTGTTCCTCAAGTACCAGGGTTGGGAACCACTGGTTTAAGATACTATAAGATCCTGCAAAACGGCTGAGGCAGAGAAATGTATTTGTCATACAGGGCAAAAGCAGAAGAAAAAAATAATAAATGGGCAGATTAAAATACTCTTTATATGATATATAAACATCATTAACTGTACTGTAATTATCCATAGTGCCCACCTTATATTTATGTTAGAGTCAAGCTGTTTGGTGGATAATGTTACCATAAAAAAGTTTTATTTTTCAAATGCTTTAACCGTTATTTAAAATAAGCATTACGTGCCATGAAACTTTGAAAGGCAGCCTCATATTTATTCTAAGTGTATATTCTTTTTCATTGCTTTCAGGTTAAAGTCGCCACCCGGAAAATTGCACAAGCATTTGAAATTTCAGGGCCCTTTAATACACAATTTCTGGTTAAAGGCAATGATGTCATGGTAGGTATTATATCACTGCATATGAGTGAATGACAGATTGACATTTTTTACACCAGGCTGCATCGGATTCTGTTTACTTACAAATTAAACTCTTTCATGTTCAGAATGATTTGTGCAGTCGGATAGATTCAATAATCAGTAATGCTCCCATTTTTTACATTCAAGCTACAGTGCAGATACAGAAAATATGTGCTTCTGTCCATTACTTAGCATTCAAGTGCATTGTGTTTACACTAATTTGAAAGATGTGCAGTTTTTGCTTCTTTAAAATAAAATGTATTTGTGATATGTATTATTAGGTAATAGAGTGTAATCTGCGGGCGTCACGATCCTTCCCTTTTGTCTCAAAAACGATTGCCGTGGATTTTATCAATGTGGCAACCAAAGTGATGGTGGGAGAGCCTATGGATGAGTCCAGCCTTCCGTCACTAGAGAAACCAATCATTCCCATAGATTACGTAGGAATTAAGGTAAGGAATATATTCTAACTTTTATGAAATTTGTTGCATTTTAACAAGGGTACTTTTTTTTTTCTTTTTTTTACAATTACTTTATATCGTCAAATAAATAGGATTAAGACAGTTAAAACTTGATTTTTGCTCCAAGTCAAATAAAGCATACAATGTCAAATTTGAAAGAAAAAAAAAAGCACTAGTTTTTGGTTTAGGAAAAATGCCATTTGTACTGAAACTCCACTGCTGATAATAAAATAATAAAAAGTGCACACTGCAATTTAAGGTCAAGTTTTTGTAATATCATTATTGACCTGTTGTCTTTCCAGACAGACAGTTAAGCACTTAAAGTCTCGGTGTTCAATCAAAACGCTTTATTTCTGCTCCTCTAGTCAGTCCAACTGCCCACCCTAAATTCTCCTTTGGCTAGCACCAGACACAGCTGGTCATTGAGTGTTCCTGTCAAGAGTAAAGTTGACATTTTCTCAGCCACATTGTCTTTGCAGCGAGCCTTAGTGGTTTTTAGTCAGCCTCAAGTGCTCATCATCATCAAGTGCCCCTTCAATTGTCCCATGTGATTGTACTTTGGGCTTAAGTGGTTTTCATTCAAAGGGCAGAAGCCATGTCCTCACATTTCAACCACAGTGATTCTCTCACTAGTGCAACTGTTGTTCTGTTAAAGATAAATATAAAGACACTGGGAACGGAGTTGCCTTTTTTAACATTGTTTTCAATTTCTGTTTTTCAGCTCGATTAACTGATTTTTAAAATACCCTAGTTCGCTAAAAAAAATTAAGAAAGATAATTCCCTTTTCAAGGTTTGATGAGTTTATTATCTGACATTGAAACTTGTTTTTTAGGCCACATTTATTACAAATGGTAAAAAAGTCTCCGCTGCAGTGATTTTAATCATTAATATAGCACTAAATTACTTTTAAGTGAGGATTTAGCAAAGATGTTTACCAGAGAACAGCTGCGTATCTTCTACTGTTGAAATCTGACTATATATTGTGTGTCTTAGGATGTTGCAACCACTCTAAGCACTGAATGAAAAAGTATCATCTTTCATAAATGAACATTCAAGGTTTTGCTTTTGTACAAGCGCTTGTTTTCCTGGTACTTTTTCTCTGTTCTAACACTCTTTCTAAGCTTTAGGTGCTTGCCAGTGCACCTTTTTACAAACTTTTGCTCCTTATGAAAGCACAATTGTGCGTTCATAGGTAATAACTGCCTATTGTATAAACGAGACTTTGAAGCCTAAAGGTCTTTATTAAGTATTGCTTTGAGCTGTTTTTAACTTGGTGCTCTTCAGAGAATGGTTTTTGAAGATGACAACATACAGTACATGTACCTTAATTAGTGTAGGTTGCTCTATCTAGTACAGCTTCCATTTGATCCCATGAAAAGAAAAGCAATTACTACTTCATCCTCATCCCTCTGCATAAGTCTAATAGTAGTAGGTACATTTCTCTTGCTGACTTACTTTTTAGCTTGAGTGTGAGAGAGATTACGTGTCCACGGCAGCTCTGAAGCTTTTTTTTTTTGTCCCACAACTTTTTTCTTCACTCTAATTACAACAAAGCTTTGTAACAATAGTTGTAGTTTAGAACCAATCATCCAGGTATAATCCCCCACTCTTCCCCACCACCTAAAGTTTTCAATTTCCAGTCTGCACATTGGTGAGGAATATTAATAGGTGCTTGGAATTCTCCAGATGCCTGACTAAAGAGCTTCCAGGGTTTAAACTTGGTGTATAATGCTTTCATACCCCTGACTGATTAGGGCCTTGCTGGAAACCTTGCCACAATATATTGAATCTGTTAAACTAAAGTGTTAATTTCTTTCTTACTGTTAAATACATTACTGCTGCAACATCAGGTCGGCACTATAAACACTCCGTTATGTCTCCATTCTGAGTAGCCTGAAGTGTGTTTGATCAATATTTCATCCATTTCAGCCTTCTTCCTCCTTGTATCATCTCAAGGCACAAGTTTTTGCTGTCCAGAGAGATCATCATTTATCTGCCCTATTCCCTTACAGCCTCACTGTTGCTGCCTGTTTTCTTACACCCTTGCTTTGTTTGAAGCCTCTTTTTTTTCTTCTCTTTTTCACTAACAAGTCCCTGTTGTATAATCTTTATGTTTTTATACAGTATAAACTCAAAGGAGCAGTAACTGGGTTGGATTTATAATACTAATGGAAGGAAGAGGATGAAATAAACATTCAAGTACGAGAAACAGAATATGATGCTTTTCAGTTCTTCCAGAAAACACTATTGGCTGGAAAAATATATTACAAAATCTGAATGAGTTATCTTTTTAACCATTAATCATGGATAATCAGCAGCACAGATAAGTCGCATATCACCAATTAAAGTGGTATTATGGTCATTTTTTATTTTTTTTTTCACTGTGATTATCCTAGTTAAGGATTTATGAGTCTGCAGGGTAGAAGTTGTTCCTCAGTCTAGTGGTTCTATATTTAATGCTCCTCAACCTCCTGCAAGAGGGGAGAGGGGAAAAAAAGTCTGTGCTGGGTGAGTGGGGTCCTTCATGATGCAGGTGGCCCTCTTCCTGCATCTGGAGGTGTAGATGTCTGTGATAGTGGGGAGGCTGACTCCAACAGACTTCTGTGCAGCCTTCACCACTCTCTGCAAAGCTTTTCTTTCTGCAGCTGTGCAGCCTCCATGCCACACGTTGATGATGGAGCACAGGATGCTCTCTTACCCATTCATACAGCACTCTACTATATCTATACACAGAATAATCAGTGCTTTATCATATTCATACACTGATGGGACACACTTGGGAGGCAATGAGGGGTTCACTGTCTTGCCCAGGGACACTTCGGCATGTAACTGCTGGTGGAATTGAATCCCCAACTCTTGCATTGAAGAACGACAGCTCTAACCACTCAGCCACAACCGCCCCATTGTACTATAAAACTACTTTATTATCCACCCAGATCAACCATTCAATTGTTCTTGGCACACAAAATTTAGGAGAATTGTTAAAAAAAACTGTAATTTCTGTATTTCCTTATTTAAAAGTTAAAAAAAAAAAATTAAATACATTCTCATTCTTTTTAATGGAATTAACAATAAAACTAGACGTTTTTAGTTGGTATCATTGAGACATTTAAATACCGTTTCCACCTCAAGCAAGGTGTGCCTGCAGTGAACAACAATGTTAGGAGAAAATATCTTTCTGTAGCACATCTGGTGCTTCGTGATAACATTGCTCATTTTGTGAAGCCTCACAATAATCCTCAGGAGATGGTAGGCAGCATAATATTAGGAGATTAAGAAGAACAGTTTATATATTTGTAGGATGTGGTTGGCTAGATTAGTCATTGTGATAGTAACAAATAGGACAAACTATTCTAACATGGATATGGCTTTTTCAAACACCGGTAAACTCGCAGTTGTTCGGTGTTCATGATTCTCTGTTTGTGCCTTAATTGCTTCTTGCTCTTTTTCTTGTTTGTCCACCTGTTATGTTCTTTCCACCTCTTTACCTTAGTTTAATAGCTGAGAAGAAAAACCTGCAAATTTTTATTTTTTTTTTTTGTGAAAGTTGAAATTAGTTCAGATGATATATAAACAATAAATCTTTGCTTGTATCTTATGTGCAATTTTATTTGCTTTGAATTCTTATTCAAAGTTCCTGCTTCTTGTTATTCTATCAATACATGCTTCTCTTTCTATTTAATTTTCGTTTTTGGTTTCCTCTTTGTCTGTCTCTGACTCTTTAAACAAAGGCATGATAAGCCATTCTGCTTCTCTGTGTGCTTCTTCTTCATTCCTTCGTACATTAGCATGCTAACATTACATTTACTGATTAGATAGCTGGCTTCAAGGATGAATCTTTCCCAGTGGGCCTTGCCTCTGTGTGTGCGTGTATGTAAATGGACACTTAAACCACACAACACAGCACCACCTCTTGCTCTCTTCAAGGTAATAAGGGTTGTCTGCTTTATAAATGGAGTATTAAGAATGGCTTCCCACATGGCGCCCCGCATTTCTTGCTTTTTCTACAACACAATAGCAAGAGGATAGTGTCATCCATTCATGTTTCTGAGCTTTTTGTTTTCTCCTTCCTATCTTATATTTAAATTTTCAGTTTGATCTATTTTTCCTACTTTTGTCTCATATTCTCTTCCCCTGTCCTCATTTTCAATCTTCTTTTAATTATATTTGATTATTTTTTCTTTTACCCATGTTCCGTTTTATGTTTTTATGATTATTGTACTTGTTTTCTTCTCAATGTTCTTACAATTTTTAACTTTATTCTTTTTCTTGTTCCATTGTTTCCCCTCTTATTCCCTTCATTCTACCAACTTCCTTTCCTCTTTTGACTCACCCTGATGTTGTTCTTTTACCGTTTCCCTCTCATCTGGAGATAACATGCCCATGAAGTTTCTGAGAGGAAAAGGCTTAAAGATTTATAATTTTACACACCAGTCTCTATTTTTTTTAGTAAAATAAATCCTTCTTTGCCTTTTCCTTTACCAGGCACCGATGTTCTCTTGGCCAAGACTGAGGGATGCAGACCCCGTGCTTCGCTGTGAAATGGCTTCCACTGGAGAAGTAAGCCCATTGCAAAAAACCTCATCATGTTATTATTCAGCCCAGGTCAAAACTGATTCATTTTGACCTGCTACATGCAACTTGAAAAATCAATGTTTCTCACAGTTTGCACGTGTTTCTATTTGTGTTCTGTTTCAGGTAGCTTGTTTCGGACCAAACATTTATTCAGCCTTCCTGAAGGCTATTCTCTCCACAGGTTTTAAGCTGCCGCAGAAGGGCATCCTGATTGGGATTCAAGTAAGACAACAGCTACGTGGAATTTTACTTTCATTCTGTTCACATTTCTTTTGCTGCACCCTGTTCATAAGACATCAAATGCATGTTACATATAATTAATAAATAATAATAATAATATCCATGTCAATGTAAGGTATGTGATAGTCAATAGTAGAAATGTCAAGGTGCTTAGAACCAGTTAGGAATGTTTAAATTTTAAGTCATTAAATAAAATGAAAACAAACAAAATAATTACACATGCATCTATTTATATCCGAGAAGCCTAAAAGACTACTGAAGGCATTAGTTATGATGTCATCATGGCAATGACCTTGCTTCTGACCTGCAGTCTGTATACATATTTGATTACTAAAGAGTAATAGAAAAGTGTAAGGTAATTCTGTCAGAATTTTTTGTGTGTTCTGTTGGTGGTTGACTGAAAACAAAAGAAAAAAGACAAAACACATAAATATCTTTGTTGAGAATCACAAGACGTCACAAGACACACAATCACCCAAAGCACGGCGTCACCTGCATGCTCATTTTTAAATTGACTTCATATGCTCTGGCTAAACTGGTGTTGATTAGTTTTAAAAGAAAAGGAATAAAATATGCCTATTTATTTGGCCAACTGATTTGTTGGTTTCCCTCTAGCATTTAAATTGAAGGTCTAAGATGTTTTTTAAATGTTTTATAGATGCAGTGCGCTCACACAGTAAACATGGTGTTCACAGTTTGATGCACACATTTTTCAAAATGTCTGTAAAAACTGTCACTTTGTTAAATTGCTTTTCATCTGCTTTAATCTAAACTATTAGTTTTGTACAGTGCACACATCATCTCTGCAGACACTGTTTACTTAATGCAGAGTTTAGGCACACTGCACATATAAATAATGTTGGCTCTGTCAAGATCAATGACATCCTTATATTATCTAATGATTAAAAGATTTATCAATAAAACAATACTAAACTAATATTGCTACTGATCAAACTATATTGTTGCCTATCTGCTAATACAGTAGTCCCTCGCTACTTCACGTTTCATTTTTTTGTGGATCCACTCTATCGCGGTTTTTCAAAATAAGATTGGACATGACACACATTGACTGGTTGATGGATGAGCAGCACGATCGGCATGGACTTTTTATTTAAAATAAATTATTTTAAATGATTTAGCACTTGCTGCACCTGTGTGCAGCCCACAGCTGTGGGAGAGGCTTCCTCCTGCAGCTGATCAGCTGATCTCTGCTGATCTCCATGCAGAGCAGAGAAGTGGGCGTGGCTAAGTGTGCAGCCAGAGACGGAGAGCAGAAGTCATGACATTCTGTGCTGTTTTAGAGCGTTTAGACTTTAAACCTTGTTTAGAATATTGCAAGAGTGTGGGGAAACACTTTAAATACTAAAATAAACTACTACTTGCTACGTGTACTACTATTCCTACTTCGTGGCTTTTCACATATCACGGGGCTTCAGTGTACAGATCCCCCGCAATAAACAAGGGACTACTGTAGTACATTTAATTAAACAGTCGATAAATGCATACAGTTTCCCCAAAAATCACACATTGGCACCCATCTCATGGCTGCTTGTAAACAGAATCAGACCTGCTCTTACAGTACACTGCATGTTTTCGATGTTTTCCTGCTTCATCACAAATAAATGAGACACTAACAAGCTTTTTGCTAACAAGCTTTTTGCTAAACGATATTCTGAGAAGGTTATTTGAAACCGATGTATTAACACAGGGAAACGGCTAAAACATGCAGGACAGTGAGCCACGAGGACCAGGGATGGAGTCCTCCTGTATACAGGATGTGATAAAAGCAAGAGAGGAGCAAATGTGTTTAGTTATTGGGAAGACATAAAAGAAGACAGAGAAGATGGTTTTACACTTGACAGCTAAACCTCAGCACTTTTCACACACCATATCACTCATACATGAGGATATTGATTAGATTCAGTAAATACTGCCACCCAGTTCTCTGCTTCATAATGACATCACATTCTGTCATAAAATTAATCTCATGCAACAGCAATTTTTTTTAATACACAATAATGGGGAAAGTAAAAAGGGTCTTAATGTTTTAAACCACAGAATAAGAACTTGGAAACTTAAAAAATAATAATAATTATACTTAAATTTACTTTAACATTCTAAAAATTGTTATTTATAGTTATCCAGTCTGAAAGCATATTTAGAGTACTGTATTTTTCAGACTATAAGGCACACTTAAAATCCTTTAATTTTCTGTCCGATACGCCTTGTGTATTAATTCTGGTTGTGCTTACTGACCTCGAACTGATTTTATGTGGTACATGGTGCTCAAAAATCTGTCAGAATGAACTTGTTTTGCTTAATGTGCCTTATTATCCAGTGCGCCTTAAAGTCCAAAAAATACAGTATTATGAAATGTGCAAAGCAGGGACTTTAGAGTTAAAAACAATCTTCGTAACTTTGAAGCAAAAGTAGCAGATGGAATAATGAACATTCTATGAACATAAACATATTTGCTACCGAAAAACTCTGTAGCCTCCATCACATGAGTTTCCAAAACAAATGTGCCTCCTTTTTTTGTCATCTAGCAATCGTTTCGACCAAATTTCCTAGCTACAGCACACCAACTAAAAGAGGAAGGCTTCAAGGTGAGTGCTGAATCCTACGGATCAAACATTTTCTGAAAATTACAAATCCTTTCCTTTAACAGGTAAACATTTGTTCTTTAAAGAATTAGAAAGAAAACAGCATAAAAAAATGTGTCTTCCTAATGTTTTATTTACATCGTGCTTGTGTTGTGCTGCTCCCAAACATGGTGTCTAGCTCTATGCCACTGAGGCCACCTCTGCCTGGTTGTGTGCCAATGATGTTCCTGCCATTCCAGTCGCCTGGCCAACTGAAAAGGATGGAGACACAACATTGCCCAGAATAAAAAGGTTGGCAGATCATCACTAAATTTTATTTTACAGTATTTCTTTTTGACCTTCGTTAAACAAGCTTTTGTTCAATTTTGAATATAAGCTTTGAATTCAAGCTTGGTGGTTGTTTCCTGTAACTTGTTTGGGGAATTGCCAGGCCAGCATTGTAAATAAGAATTTGTTCTTAATGGTTATTACTGCTGAAATAAAGGTGAAATGAGTATATTACCTGTTATTTATTAAATTCAAGAATTGTATCTCTAATAATCAAAAGGTGCTGCATTATGATCTAAAGCGTCAAACTTTTTTTGCTTTTCTCAAAATATGAAAAAAGTCAAAAAAGGTGGAAAACTCTGAAGTCCTTTCATTGACCAAAAATAAACATGGGATTTAAATAATAAATAATAAAAAATAAATCTGGGGATTGGGATAATAAGTACATTGATATGTCAAAAGAGGATAAAATATGTGTGTACCGCATAGTTCTTAATATTACAAAGTGTTTTACAGGAACAATAAAGGTGAGTTCCATTAGATTAATGTTTAAAAGAACACAAAGTTAAATTGTGTTTTAAATAAATCAGACATTACCAAGGGCTTTCACTGAGAGGACAGTTCTCAGATCTGATCGTGTCTAGAGGTTTAGTTTCCTGCTCATGTTCAGAGTCACATAAAATTGTAATTAAAAGTCATAATTTATGACTTGTGAGTTATTTACCAGGTAATATAAGTGAGTCCCAATCATGATAGTTCATTCCAGGTCAGTAAATTTGAATTTAAGGTGGGGAAAATAAAGAATTATAAATATATATATACTTCATCTTTAGTGGTCACAAAAATGTTGAATGAGCTTCCACCATGTTGTTCCTTTTTTAACCAGGAAGGTATCTTGAGTCTTATTTATTTGTTTAGTCCTGGGGTAAAATGAGATTCAACTAGTAATTGTCAACCCTCAGCCACTTTTCTGTTGATCTCAATACCTTCATGTTAACACATGTCATTATAATCACTTATAATTTGCTGTACTAGACTTTTTCTAATTGGAGCAAAAGTTGGCATTTCATAAGCTGTGTTTGTGGTAATTATAATCCAGAGGGTCGACAAATGCATTTTCAGTTTGTCTGTGACAACCTATTCTCCAAGTCAGACATGCAGGTATGTTGTAACGTGAACATACTGTATAAGGAGGCTGGCATATTGGTCTGAGGGAAAGTTGACCAAATAGTGAGACGTTGCTGTGTGTGTGTGAGACTACACATTTAAAAAGAAAAAACCTCCAAACAGAAAATACTTAATTTTTCCATCTGCAAAACCGAGAAGGGAAAAAAGGTGCTGTAAGTACACTTTGATCACCACGTGTACACATGCACATTTTGGCACATTTTTAGTCACTGGTATTATTTGTTACTTTAAGTATACATGCAATGATTATCTAGAGATCTGTACTTATACATTACCTTGAGTGAATATAAAACTGAAATATACATAAGTAAACCATTAGAAGTACTTAATACTGAAAACAAGGATGGGG